ATTTACCCAGCTGTCAACAGTTGTCCTAACCATATAGGAAGATAGATAAGGAAGGTGGTTTACTTTTCTTCGCTGCGTTAGTCTGCTGAAAGTTACTGATACTTCCTTAAAGAAGGGCTTCTGTCAAGTTCTGCTCCTTGGCAAGAGTTGAGTCCTCTGTTTTCTGGTTCTCCTTGTTTGAGGTATAATAGCTCTTCTAAAAATTATGAGCCTAAACCTAAACCGCCAGCTATATGAAAACTTGTAAAAGTTGATTTCTGTCCAATTTAATCAACAGAACTGGAACATAAGGATCTGTTTCACCTGTTTCTTGTTACGAGGACACATTGTTTTAACTATGTAGTCTCTTGCTTTTAGTTTACATTATTTTTATCCATGTTTGGATTGTCCATGATGCCTCCTTCAATGCAAGTTGTTTTTTGTTTGTTTTTGTTTGTTTGTTTTGTTTTGTTTGATTGAGGGGATTTGGGAGAGGAGAAGAAGGGGGCTAAAAGTTCTTTCCTCCTGGAATGATTTGTAGGTAGCTAAAATATGGAACAGTTTGTAAAAATATGGGACAGTTTGTAAAAGAGGTCATTAACTTCCCATATCCTGATATCAGAACAAACTGTGCAACTAATGAGCAGTCCTTCTCCCCTCAGAGAAGAACTAGGCTCCACTCCTTCGCATATCTGAGATTCCCCTTTCCAGCAAGATCTCTTTTTTCTCCACATCTCCTGATATGACAAGTTAAGCAAATATGCCAATGCAAGTAAAAAATCTGAAAGAAACTAAAAGAATGTAAGGCAAATAAATTTGGAATAACAAAGCAAGCCTAATATACTTACCAGATGCTAAATAACTAGAAATATCTACAAAATAGCCGTCTTACAAGTTATACTTTTATGTACCCTATAGGAAGTTGCTTAACAGAGGCTGGTATTTTTACAAAGCTTTCTCGGTCATATTTTTAATGGCAGACACATTTTTCCACTTTTATTTGTATGTTCTAAATCAAATCATGGGCTGAAGATTATTCAAGAGATCTTTTTCCAGCTGTTTGCTATTACAGCTCTGAGCTAAAAGTCATTGTTATAACAACAACCTGTTTTGTTTTGTGTTTTGTTTTTTTTTAACGTAACTTTAAAATATAATTTTGGCTGTTAACTTCAGGCTGCCTCATCTATACCCACTTCTTTCCTTAAATCTACTTAAAGCTATTCTATCTCAAAAAGATAAAATTAACTGAGACATTATTGCTTAAATGCATTGATAATAATATTGTTTAGATTTAGCAGTAATTACATATTCCCTTCTCACAGTCAAACAGGATTAGCATTCGTTTCTTGCCGATGCTTGCTCTCTCTCTGCAAACCTGTATTTCCAGCTGTGAAATAACAAATAACTAATCTTCACCCTTTCTCTACCTTCCTGAATTTCCCAGAACTTTCAAATGGGAAAATTAAATATCTTAAGTGCGTCTACAAGGTCTCATCTTATTAAGACTTTTTTTTTTTAAATAAATAACTTCAGAGACCTGTAATGTCAAATGTATGTATGGAGGGAAAAGAAATGGAGTTGATAGAGTAAGAACAGATCACTTGAAAACGAATATAATATTGAATAATATTATGTTTTTTTCAGGTAAAAATCAAAACTTAAACATGTACATTAAAACAAAACACCTCTGCCTAGCTTGAAAAATGTATTGATATCATTTTTTCATGTGCTTGGCCTATTTCTCATATTGGTTTGGAGTTGTTGGTGAAAGATGTTTTCTCGGATTGATGGAGGAACTTCACCACATCATCTATAAAGACTTCAGCTACTCCCATATATTGTCCTTGCACCCATCTCTCCCTGCAGATACAGGTCCTCTTATATTTGTGAGCGGAAAAATAAACTTCTTTTTTGGTAACTCCTGCATAAGCAGGTCTCTGTTCATTTGAATAAGTTACATATATGCTGTCTAGCCCCACAGAGTGAGTTGCAGAACTGAAGTATCCATCAGTCAAGTATAAAGAAACTCTTAATCCTCTTTAATATTGCAGTTATTTATTTTTTTGCAGCTACATTTTATGAACTTTTTTCCAGCAAATAAAACTGCCTACAAAATAAGGTCCCTGTATATTTTCATTTCCTTCATTTTAGCTGTTTCTTAAATTGTTTTTGAAGAACAAGCAGAAACTGCTATCAGTGAGAGAAACCAGTGGATTGCATAAAGAAACTTTAATTTTACTTCCATGGGTTGAAAATGAGAATAAAACCTATTTCTTTCAAATAAATGATTTTTATTTTTTTTTAATCTGCTAAAGATGCGACCTCTGGCTGAGTCACCACTATGAGTCCTGAGATTTCCAAAAAGGAGTTAATCAGCTTTCAGCAGTGCTAGAATCATCACGTTGCAGCACTGACATTATCAGCCAGTGACAGTGTAGTCTAATGATGTAATCCTTCTAACTTTGTTTTACACTGCTGCACCAGAGCAGCCTGCCTATACAGGTACAGGGGTAGACCAACTGCATTTCCAGCTCTGTCATCATTTGTTGGTGTGTAAACACCCACCAACCACTGCAGCTCCAATGAAATGTGGTTTTGCGACATTAATTATGGCTGATAAATATAATTATCATAAATATATGATAATTATAGAAAAATCCAGCTGGAGGCCGGTCACTAGTGGCGTTCCCCAGGGCTCAGTACTGGGCCAGTCCTCTTTAATATCTTTATCGATAATCTGGACGAGCGGATCAAGAGCACCCTCAGTAAGTTCGCAGATGACACCAAGTTAGGTGCATGTGTCGATCTGCTCGAGGGTAGGAAGGCTCTGCAGGAGGATCTGGATAGGCTGGACCGATGGGCTGAGGTCAACTTTGTGAAGTTCAACAAGGCCAAGTGCCAGGTCCTGCACCTGGGCCACAACCCCAAGCAGAGCTACAGGCTGGGAGATGAGTGGTTGGAAAGCAGCCAGGTGGAGAAGGACCTGCGAGTATTGGTGGATAGTCAGCTGAATATGAGCCAGCAGTGTGCTCAGGTGGCCAAGGCGGCCAACAGCATCCTGGCTTGCATAAGAGGCAGTGTGGCCAGCAGGTCTAGGGAAGTGATTGTCCCCCTGTACTCGGCTCTGGTGAGGCCGCACCTCGAGTACTGTGTTCAGTTTTGGGCCCCTCACTACACGAAGGACATGGAGGTGCTTGAGAGTGTCCAGAGAAGGGCAGCCAAGCTGGTGAGGGGTCTAGAGAACAAGTCCTACGAGGAGCGGCTGAGGGAGCTGGGCTTGTTCAGCCTGGAGAAGAGGAGGCTCAGGGGCAACCTTATCACTCTTTATAACTACATTAAAGGAGGCTGCAGAGAGGTGGGGGTTGGTCTATTCTCCCATGTGCCTGGTGACAGGATGAGGGGGAATGGGCTAAAGTTGTGCCAGGGGAGTTTTAGGTTGGATATTAGGAAGAGCTTCTTTACTGAGAGGGTTGTGAGGCATTGGAACAGGCTGCCCAGGGAAGTGGTGGAGTCACTATCCCTGGAGGTCTTTAAAAGACGTTTAGATGTTGAACTTAGCAATATGGTTTAGTGGAGGACTTGTTAGTGTTAGGTCAGAGGTTGGACTCAATGATCTTGAGGTCTCTTCCAACCTAGATAATTCTGTGATTCTGTGAGGGAGAAAAATAGTTGAAAGCAGTACATGTAGTTAATGTGCAAATAGAATGCACGTTAATTTTCATCTGAAATCAGTACATATTTTCTTATTCATAAACATTAAGCTATGATATTTTATTGTATTTTTAGTGGGGTTTTGGAGAAAAGTGTGTCACTTTTCTTTACCATTTTATTTTGCATCTTATTTCACACACAAAATTAAATTTAAAATGAAGCCTCAAGAAACATAGATGCTTCCTGACCCAAAAAAAAAAAAATAAAAGCATGCAACAAATTCTGTTATGGAAAATCAAAAATATGGAATTGTGATTTGAGCAGCACTTGAGAGGGAAGGTACTGTTATTTTGATAACCACAGGACATCCATAAGGCTCGAAAGAAAATAATAGGGATTACAACAATTCTCACTTCTTCTTCACACCACTTCAGAAATCAAATAAAAATGAGGATATCTGCTCTTAGGAACCTGGAATTCAAATAGACCAGAAGAGGCACCAGTACTATGCCACTTACTTCATTACTTGTACAGCAGCTACAATCTTGTTTTTTTAACATAGGAGATGCCTCCAGGCAGATATTACAAAGAATTCCGAAACCAAAAGTACAATTAGGCCCAAGGCCAACAGCCTGAAGCATGACTCAGTCAAGGGACATCAGATCACAGATCAATATCTCTGGTAAAAAGAATAAAAACAGAATGAAGCAGGCTGCATACAAGGAAAAGAAAAAAAAAAAAAAAAAAAAAAAGAGTAGCAATATCTTCCTAGCCTCGGTTTGAAGAGGACAATAAATTGAGAAGTGTGATTCAACAGTCATATGTTGATATTATTGCTATATTCTTCTGGGAGAAATTCCTTAAAATCAAGCTACGACCAGGCTATTTAATGCCTCTCTATTAACTGCAAACCATAGTGATTTAATGTAATTTTATCTTTAGACTCTGTAACTACAGAACCATATACATAACTTTACCCATGTGAATCGTCTCCAAGATTTAAGCAGGATTATACATATAATGAATGCATGGTCAAAACTGATCTGAAAGGAAGAAGTAAACCACAGCATGAATAAATAATGCTTAATGAAATGTTGTTTTTGAGGCAACTTTATGTTTTTTCAAAAGAGTTGCCTGGTTATCTGTGAGACAGCCGTGTTCAAATGCCACCAGGTGCAATCTATAATCTGCTGTGATAATTTCTTTTTGCCTTCATTACCCAAGCTGCCACATGTGAGGGCAGCCACTGGATGTACCCTCTCTGGGACACAACCATTGTGTGTAAAGAACTGCCTGCTATGCAGACAGCATGCTTCACCCTATGCACACCCCCTTGCAGGCTCAGCAGTAACACAAGTGGGCATTGCAAAAAGTTTCTGAAGGAGGCATGTTTATTTTTCACTCTGTAGAAACATATTCTGCACAAAGTGTTGTGGTTACAAATCTCCTTTGTTTCTGAACTCGCCTTAAGCAGCTGTTAGAGTCTTACTTCCTTTTTTGACAGTTTGCTGGACTCCTGCTCACATGGGTGAAATCATAACTAAATTCCCTTCTCAGGACTCACTCCAAACCTGATGGGAAAGTAAACAATTTTGCACAATGTTTTTTGCCTGTGTTTCTCCAGTTGCTTTTGCAACACAACCAGCTTTGCTCAGCAGCAAAGCCTACTCAAGTAGATAGTGCTATTGCCTGCACTAACACAAGACACTTATTCAAGAAGATTACAAAATAATGATGAAATTGTGGTATTACAGCATTGTAAATCTCATCAGTGAGAACAGAGAGGCACTCTCAACGTAACAGATCACCATTTCTAGTTTCTCTCTTTCCATAATCCAACTTCTCTGAACATACGTAAACAAAAAATTTGGTATTTTAAACTTAATTAAATACTACAGAGGTAGCTACGTATAATGTTTATATTGTAGTTTAGAAGTTCAGTTTTACCCCAGAACAGACAAATTAATTGCAGATGATTAAAATGCTATTTATTGTACTAGTACCTTCTTTTACAAATATATAGGATGGCACTTTAAATTACCTTGTGAAAGCTTGACTGCATAAGGTTGCATATTAGGCATTTCTGTACTGTATCGAGGATTTGTATTGGAATTGCTTAAAACTATGAAGTGTCATAATCTGTTGAAAGGCCCAGGAAGACAGCCAATACTTTAAAAATGTACATTATTAGCAATTACCCCACATAACAAAATCATGAACATGAATTAATTACTACAACCAGACTGAGGATACACCAAAACCATGGGATTTAAATGTGGGCTTACTCTTAGTTCAGCTGCTCAGCTGAGGCACTCACGTCCATGGATGAGAAGGAAATCTTGTCATTCATTGGGTTGCAGCTTGCCTTCTTTCTGCAAACACAAAACTGAAGATTACTGAAGTTATCTCAAACTTCAACCTCATTACAAGAGAAAACCTGCTGTTGTCGCAGAGCACCTTGCTCCCTGCAGTTATTCTCACCAAAAAATGTCCCTTTTCTTTCCCCCACCTCCACACACACAAAAAAGTCCCTTTTCTTCTTCCCACTTCCATACCCTTAAGGGGTTTTTGCCTTGCTTCAGTAGACTGCTGGTGTGCTCTCTGCTCCAAAAATGTGTAAGCTGGCTTCCTACAGTAAAGTATAATGAATGAATAAAAAGAAGAGTCGCTGTTCTCAGCTTAGATATACTGACACTTTCTCTTTCCAGCATCTTAACCATGCTGTGAGTTCCTGAGTATATTCAGTCCTCTCACTTGCCCCAGACACCTTTTCTGAAGCAGTTTATATCATCAGCTGAGTGAGTTATGCCCATATTCACAAGTGGTTCATCCATCCAGGCTCTCAAAGTATTATAAAACACATTACCATATGTATATGGCTTTATGTACAGTTATTATGTAGAGCTTGATACATAGATATGTGTTAATTAAACATACTTTCTGAAAAGAACAAATCTGATCAAGCAAAATACTTCTCTTATTGAACTTACTAGTAAATAACCTCAAAAGTAAGCCAAGGTTAGGACACACTGAGAAAGATTTCTGAACTTTTCTCTCAATTAAACCAAGGTGAGAAGCTTTTGGGGGTGATATTTCTCCTGAAACTAATGGAAATAAAATGGTGGTAGGTGAGAGAAAACTGTACTCCATTGTCCCTGCCTCAGTGTTGTTCCTTGGAGCAAGGAAGGTATCTGAGGAGGGGAATCTGTTTTGTTATAAAGACTGTGTATCTTAATTGCAGCCAGGGGAAAAAAAAATAATAATACACTGACAAAATATAGCTATCTTTTCTCATTTATCAGGAATACTTTAGGCATGGATAAAGCTCCATCTGAGTTATCTGTTTAGGTAAATTATCTTGGAAGGATCTTTATATTGTACAATTAGCTCAGAGCTGAGCTGCATCTCTCTTGTGGGTAGCACAGCTGTCAGCAGCACATTGTCTTTGCACTCCTAGCAGGTTCCAGGGCTCTGCTGCCCCAAGACCCTCTGCTCTGGGCCTGCAAAACATGTAATTGCTATTAACGAAGTATTGAATTTGAATCTGTTGAGCATTTTTACAATTGCTATTAACAAGGTATTGGCTACTCAATTTGTTAATCATTTCAGGAAGGTGGTGGCAGAGCTTGAATAGCCATAGACCCAACAGCAGCCTTCTTTGGAGGTGCTTGACTTTTAGGAGTTTCCATCCAAAAAGGAGAGAGAGTTTTTTGATGTAATTACTTTCAGGGATTAGTTGGATAAGGAATCACTGTAAGCACTTATTATAACTCCTGTTAGAGCAGTTCCAGAGGAGGACCACAAAAATGATCAGAGGGCAGGAGCACCTCTCCTATGAAGAAAGTCTGAGAGAGCAGGGGTTGTTCAGCCTGGAGAAGGGAAGGCTCAAGGGACACCTCATTGTGGCCTTTCAGTACTTAAAGGGGGCTTATAAAAAAGATGGAGAGCAACTTTTTACAAGAACAGATAGAGATAGAACAAGGGGGAACAGTTTTAAACTAAAAGAGGGAAGATTTAGATTAGATGTTAGGAGGAAATTCTTCACTCGTATGGTGGTGAGGCACTGGAACAGGTTGCCCAGAGATGCTCCATATCTTGAGGTGTTCAAGGCCTGGTTGGATGGGGACCTGGGCAACCTGACCTGAATCAAGGAGGTGTCCCTGCCCTTGGCAGGGAGTTGGAATTAGATGATCTTTATGGTCCCTTTCAACCCAAACCCTTTTGTGATTCTATTATGATTCCATAATTTTTACTGTAAGGTACAAATACTTCAAAAATTCTTGCTCAATTGTTCCTATTCTAGTCAGTTTAGTTTTCAAGTAATTTGAGAAAACACATCCTAATAGCTTAAAAATAGGCTTTTATAGCCAAATTTAAAAACAGCTGAAATTCTGAAAAAGCTTTATGATCTGCAGCTACAGTATACTGTAGTTACATGGAGCATTTCACCCTTAATGTAACAGTTTTACATTTGAAAAACAAAGTTAAGCAAAATTTAATTCTGCCTTCAAATTTCAAATGAGCTTTGGCAGGCAACATATGTTCCCCAAAAGCGCACTTTGGGGACTTAGGCCTTGACAGAAGGAAAGCACTGACAGGATGAGCAACCAAGTGATATGTTCCACCTCTGTTTTCAGTCGCGCTATCATTTGCACCATTTATAACAACAGCAACAACAAAAATGATTACTCACAAAGCAACAGCTGTCCTTCTTCAAACTGCTCTTAAAACCCATCTCTGTCATGATGTTTACAAAAATTTGACAATGGTTAGGCAGACAACATTCTGCAATTACCACTTATTCCACAGATGAGCACCGTATCATTCCTAACTTCTCTTTGCTGTATTTGCCTTTAGATATATTTTGCTATGTGCTCCAAATAGTTAGGAAATAATGATAGAGACTCTATATATCAGAAATATTTATTTAAAGAATTAAATGTCCTGTTTATTGTTAGACTGAGGTGCAAGTTCTCAGTTATAAAGATCTGAGCAAATGAAAACAGTACATGTCTCCCGTATTTATACTAGCTAATAATTTACTCCTAATTATGAAATTACATCTAATCATCTCCCTTAGGTAACAATGCCATACTGAATAATCTGATGTGTAAAACCAGTTTTAAGTATCAAGTTGAAAGAAATTCACTGAACAGTATCGTACGAATGCTAACTACAGCTAGGAGCATAATTAAGAAAATCAAGTATTTCCAGTACAACCCCAGCAATCATATTTTGGGATATATTACAATAGAATTTCAGGCAAATGAAGATCTCCTTAGGTATATTGCTCATATTCAACAATATCAGAGAAGCTAGATTTCATCATCTGCCTTAAAACCCCTTAGCTATCACTGTTTCCACCACCAGTCATATAAAAACAGACTTGATTTCGAGAGTAGTATGTTCACAGCTCTGGGGGTAGTGGCAGCAAGATTCATCTATCACCTTGTCTCCACCTAGTACAGATCTATCTGATAGGTGTTCTGAAAATATCTTATCATGCTGGATTTCTTAACACACAAACCGTGAGGAAATGTGGAGGTGAAAAAAGCTGTCCTAAAATGCCAGTGGTTCAAAAACTCTTCTGAATACCGGAGAACAGGTTTGAAGTTTTGCTGAAATTTGAAGCGTCTCTCTCTGCGGTTGGGATTGCTGACTCCCAAGAGAATAGCCTAATCCGTAGGCCCTGGGCATGCTCTGACAAAACTGGATTTCTCTGATTCTGAATGTTCAGTGGAGGTGACAGGGAAGAAAGGGAAGGAAATGTAAATATGTCCTCCATCCATCTAAAAACAAGCCAATGATCAGGTTTTTTATTCATATCAGTGAAGTGTTAGAGAGCTACATAGAATATTCTAAAGATAAAAATCTCCTCTGAATATGTATATGAGCGCTTGTACAATTTTTTGAATACTTCAACTATTTCAATAGTAACCCATGAGATGCTGGACTAAAATTGTTCAATGGTAACTAATATTCAAATAACCCATCAAAAGTGTATTTGCAACAGACTAGCATCATGAAAAGAATTTTGGATAAAGAGGAACAGATGAAGAGAAATCGTAAAGAGAACTCAGAGGAACTGTCAAAGTCCCCCAGGACAGCTTTAGACAGAATTAGGACACCATTTGCAGGGAAAGTTGTTGTTATGGACACTGAACACTCAGCCCTAGCTCCCTGCAATGGAAGCAGCCAGAGAGGAGCCCGGCTGTTCAGCTTTGATCAGAATTGAAATTACACCTAATTTTCTTGTAACCTGTTGTTTCCAAATGTTAAAAGGAAAGGTCCAGCCTCAGACCAGACTTGAATCATGAATATATGTCCAGGTGGAAGAGAAAAATCTTGGGCATTCTCTCCAGTGAAGCCAAAGAAAAGAGGGATATAAAGGCACATACAGGACACCTCATACCCAATCCATGGTTCGGAGACATGAGCATTAAAGAATTACACTTTAAGTTAAACACTGACACACAGCACTGGGAAGGTGCCAGGACAGGTAGAAAGATGCCATCTGGGAGTTTTAAGTGATAGTGTGGCAAAGTACATCTCTTCTGCAATGAGACGATGGCACATGGCATCTTCACAGCTTGGGCATAGTCTTTCAGAGCTTATCTCAGCATCCCTGCTGCTGAATCTCAATCATAAGTTGCAGCACCAACTTGTGCCTGATTTTCTTGCATCTATGGTGAGGGTTGTAAGAATTTTCACTTTCTTTTCTCTCCTCTCCTGCCTTCACAGCCCAAAGACTGGCATAAGTAATCTTACATTAGAGATTAAAAAATGGTTTTATAAGAAATAATCAAGAGTGTGGTGTTGAATTGGGGTTGCTCAGTCTAAAGAGGAGGCTCCAGTGGGACCTTACAGCAGTCTTCCAGTACCTGAAGGCCTACAAGAAAGCTGGAGAAGGACTCTTTGTCAGGGAGTGTAGCGATGGGACAAGGGGTAATTGCCTTAAAATAAGGGTAGATTTAGATCACATATAAGGAAGAAATTTTTTACTATGAGGATGGTGAGGCACTGGAACAGGTTGCCCAGAGATGCCCCATCCCTGGAGGCGTTCAGGGCCAGGCTGGATGGAGCTTTGAGCAACCTGGTCTAGTGGGAGTTGTTCCTGATCATGGCAGGGAGAATTAGATATCTAAGGTTCCTTCCAACCCCAACCATTCTGTTACTCTATGATATTCTGAGTGGACGGAAACTTTCAAATTTTGCTTCAAATAAGTTTGAAATTTTTATAAATTTCAGTGAGACATTGGACAGTGGGTGCAGATTATTTTTTTTGGTAACAAAAAAAAAAGGGCATAATCCAGCACATAGTCTAATGGACAATTCATTGTTAAGAACCTCCAGCGAAGATGGGTGCAGTATACTGAAAAGCTGGACTCCAAGTTCTCACTCCTCCTAATGGCTATCTTCAGACAGATTCCCATCCAGCCTGTCAGCAGCTCTGCATGACGCTCTTGGGCACCTTCCAGCACATGATGTGAGTTTACTTAGCAACACGGGTGCCCAAATTTCAATACGTAATGCAGTGGCCAAGAGCTGTGGGACATAGCAGTTAACATAGCTCAAGCTCTTTGCCAGTACTTAGTCACAGGTCTCTCTTGTAGTGATACAACAAACATTTTGAACCATCTGCAGAGCATGTAATATTGGCTAAACAGCCAATTTATCAAATGACTACATCTCAAGATTGTGGAGTCAATATACTCTGGCTTTCTGACAGAGAGTGGGAGTAGGAGGAGGAGAGTAAATTTTCCCCTTAATACTTACTAAGACTGGAGAGACATCGTTATAAATACATGTGGAAATACAAAACACAAGAAACTAGCAACCAATTAAAGTCCTTATATCTCTTGTTTTCTTATCTCTATCACAATTCTTATCTCATAAAACCTTTGACTAGAATAGGAAAGACTATTCTAAAGGCGGTAAGTGGAGTTCAAGCCAGATAGCAGATTACAAGGTCTCCAAAGGCACCCAAGGCTCTCAGAAGTAAGGATATAATTTAGAAGTTGATAATCTACCTCTGAGTGCTTCAGCCACAAAACTCTCCACGCTGCTCTAGGTGATCTAAGAGATACTGGAAGCAAGATAGTCACCTCGGTTCAGATATTCACAAAATTGCCTTCTTCCTTCCGGAGAAGGCAATCTTGCAATGGCAATCTACACAGTACAGAGCTAGATACACTTTCCATTTCTCTAGAAGCCAACATGCTAGGCTGGTAAATCTAGGGTTCTCAAGTGAATTTGGTAAAATTAAGTTACAGTGCAACTCATACTTTCACCAGAAGAAAGAAATACAGTGATTTGGACTTTGGCTTACTATATGAACTTTTAACTAAGGCTTACTGGCTAAAAGCCAGGTAGATACCTATAGCAGCCACAGGCACAAAACATCTCTGCATCTCATTTTTAACTGTCTCTAAAATTACAGTACAATAAAACAAGGCATGGTGATACTACAGCAATGATTTCCCTAAAACCAGAGTTAACAACACACTGTAGATTACTGGCTTGCATAAACACCTCTTCTTCAGGTGGTTTAATTCAACAAGTCATTGCAGGGCATTTTGGCTCTGTGTGTATTTCAGGCAACGGCTGTTAGGAAGCCACACAGGTCTACATGTACATGTAAATCACAAAGCTGCAGCCTTCCTGGGAGAAACTAACACAAATCAGACCAAGACACCACTTGTATTAATGAAAGGAAAGGAAAGGTAAGGTAAAGCTAGGAACTACACTTTGGTAAAATAATGCTGTAGACTTAGTACATTTTTGTTAACTGAGTGAAGTTAACAGACCAGTTTCAGTTAAAGAAAATTACTGGAAATAGTGGTGCCATATTTTATTCTTTTTCTTTTTTTTTTTTTCTCCCAATATTCAGCCTCAGGACAGGGTAGCTGCTTTAATCAAAGCAGTATTTTAATTAAGATTAGACAAAGGGGAAGAGTTTTATGCATAAATATCAATATTAAAGATAGCAACACACCTGTCTGATTCAAATTCCAATTAGAATGGGCTAAGTTTGTATATGTGAGCAGGATTTGGGTTAAAGCACAAAGGTTTAAAAAAATCTTTCAAACTCATGCAAATTTAGTCACTTCTAGAAACAAGTTTCACCTGTTCTCACAAGCCTTCTGGCTTTCTGGATGAGAATCTGAACTTCACCACTCTGAAAAAAGCAGCATGTTATGGAATCAAGACAAAAATGTTAATGCTAAGTCCAAGCATTTAAAAGCTTAAAAATTGAAATCTTATTTGAAGCAGGGCATGAAATTCTGGCAACATCAGACTATCTGCTAAATCACAGCAATAAAAAATTACAGATGTGAGTTTCACAAAATATAATAATTAAACAAATATATTAAGAAAACAAATTAGCCAGAATGCTCTTGTAAAAGGAGGGTGTGTGTTTTGGGGAATTCGTGTATGCAAAAAATTCTAAACTGGCATTTATAAACTTCAAAAACAATTTTCTGAAACAACCTTTCACAGAGAGATCAAAAATCTCTACTGACCTGTCTCCCCTTTCCCTGTAATACTACCTATGTCTTCTGAGCCCAACACCTAGAACTCAGTTTAGTTTAAACAAGCATTAAAATAAACCAATCCTTGTGTAGAGCCAAAACAGAGTTTCTCAGATTGAAACTGGCACACACTGGAACTGCTGAATTCAGCTGCATTCATCTGCCTTTAATTAAGATTGCTGCAAGCGCAGGTATTCCCAAACTGTCCTAAGCATGATCTGCTGAGGAAATCAAGTAACCAGGGTGGGAGACTTGTCGTGGTTTAACCCGGCCGGCAGCTAAACACCACACAGCCGTTCGCTCACCCTCCCCTCTCCCTCTCAGGGATGGGGGAGAGAAACAGGAAAGTGAAGCCCGTGAGTTGAGATAAAGACAGTTTATCAAGACAGGAAAATAATAATAATGATAATAATAACAACAATAATGATGATAATAGTACTACTACTACTAATGTGTACAAACAAGTGATGCACAATGCAATTGCTCACCACCCGCTGACCGATGCCCAGCCTAACCCCAAGCAGTCCGGACCCCCGCCCCCGGCTAGCCACCCCTATATATTGTTTAGCATGACAGCAGATGGTATGGAATACCCCTTTGGCTAGTTTGAGTCATCTGTCCTGGGTCTGTCCCTCCCCAGCTCCTGTTGCACCCAAAGCCTGCCCATTGGCAGGACAGAGCAAGAAGCTGAGATGTCCTTGGCTCGGTGTAAGCACTGCTCTGCAACAATTAAAACATCGGGGTGTTATCAGCACTCTTCTCATCCTAAGCCAAAGCATAGCGTTCTACCAGCTACTAGGAAGAAAATTAACTGTCTTAACTGAAACCAGGACAAGTCTCTAACTGGAAATTATGTTGTACGTTAGAAAGGTAGGCAAGAATGTACTTGTGGAAGAGAAAGCTCAAATGAAAGGAAAGGATGGCCAGAGCAGACAGATGGAGAAAAGCAGTACCCAGGCAAGACCCTGGGGAGAAGTGAAGGTGGTGAGAGCTATAACTCTGACCAAATGCTTTGCTCCCTCCTGTGCACAGGCAGACACCGCTTTGTACATTCCTGACAACAAACTGCTGAGTGCCAGAGGTTAACCTGGTGTCACAAAACAAGATAAGGTACCTTGAATGCTGTCCACCTCCACAGGTCGGAGGGCTAACAAGGAAGAGGCAGTCTGAAGTCTGGGCACTTTCAGTCATTTGCATCCACCTCAAGCATATAAGTGTACTGAAAAAAATGCAAATCCCATTTTAGTCATCTTCACACTGCATGCACGCACGCACATATATAAAAATACATACACGCGCACATGACATGTCTTTGGAAGCCATAAAAATGGATAAAATATCCTTAACTCTGCTCCAAAGCTTTCTAGAGTCACATATAATTTTACACATGTGCACTCCAAGAGAGACACTGACCGAAAGAGAGGATGCTGGCAGGAGAGCAATCAATCTACAAGCAGCATACAGCCAGCCCTGCCGGGTGCAAGAGGGAAACAACAGAGTGCCTGATCTTGAGCATTCGTAACCAAAACGCAGGGCATAAAGAGGCAAAGGAAACTAAAGCCTCACAAACACTGAAGAAAAGGAAACAGGTGTCATTTTCCAGAACTTCTAACCTATAAAATGGGAACTTTTGATGGACATCAGATTGTGCATCCCTCGAATGAAATACAGATCTATAGCTTTTATGAAAGTAAAGCATTTCAAAGAGGGCATGGAGAAGAAAAGAAAAGACATTTTAAATATAATATCTCTCTCAGGAGGAATCTCTCACAGTGTCATTTCGTGACACTGCTGCAGCCTTTGATGCTGCTTTGACAAATATTTTCTCTAGGGTGAACTATAAGTTGGTTTAGTTTAACCATTTTTTTTTTTCACTTTTAGCTTATGTAGGAATTGCACTGAAATGACAACCTCTGCTCCCTCCAATCATTCAGGGATCAGAGAATAAAGACAGTTTATTTTTATTAAATTGCTACCTCTTCTTATTAAGGTCACCCAGGCCATTAGCTCATGACAAAACATCTTGTTCAAAATAATTTTAATTTTGACCTGCAAGAAAAAGCAGAATTAAATAAGATATACTTGAAAGATGGGTTTATGTTGTATTTTTACATTTCCTTCTAAACAAAAATGTAATAATAAAGCAGTTATTTGTTATTTTGACAAACTAATCAAAAGTATCCTGATATTCCCTCTTCTTCCAACTTCTGAGTCGCATGTGATTCTCAAGATGTTGTTTTAAAATTTTGTCTCAAGTTCTTGGCTTAAATTTAATGTGAAAGGCAAGGCATCTCTTCATTCCATGTTGCTTTGCATCCTTGAAATAGTCATCTAACATGAAAACACATTCAGAGCTGTAATAAGCAGAGCTGCCAAGATAACAGCAAGAATATCCATCTCCTACTTTTACCTTGGCGCTAATATATATAGTACACCATTTTGTTTTACACAGGATATTTAAAATCTTTATTGAGAAAAGGATAAAACAGCTGATAGTAGCCGTACTGCCTGAAAAGCCTCATGGTGCACAGCCACAGTTCAAGTATTTTTTTCTCCTTTAATGCGTTAGGTTAGGAGGAGAAATTATTTCCCTGTTCAGCCAACTCAGTCACTCAATTTTCACTTCATGCACAATTCTTATGGTCTGCCATCTCTATCTCCTCCAATTTTCTCCTTCCATTCAACTCCTGTCATTCCTTGAAGCATAATGTAATGGCAACTTACACAGTGGTATCAGAGAACATTTCTTTGCTCCTGTACTATTTAACAAGGAATAGTTCTTGTATTTTTCTATCCATAACTTGGGACTTTTCTGTAAAAGGACAGCAATTATTCATGACTCCACTCAAACTATAAAATTTTCTTGAATAGTTACCCTAAAAATCTACATGTGTAATTGTACTTTCCACTATTTTAATGCCTTCTAAAACATGGAAACACATGTTTTCAGTTCCAATTGAAAACTTTTTTTTTTTTTCTTTTTTTTTTTTTTTTAACCCCTAATGACATAAGATGACAAATTCTGGTCCCTGCATTGCAGGATTTTATAATGACGAAGTTTTACCTACAGGAAACACTGTCACCGGTCAAGGCCAAATTTTACTCATTTAGATCTCAAGCAGCAGCTGATGCGTAAATTCATGGCTACAGTATACTCAAGGACACCAGTTCTGGGCTAAAAATGTTTCCAGCATTCTTAAATGATAGGTATAGAGCAGATGCAAGATAAAAGAGTTCAAGTAAGAGGGAAAAAAAAAAAAAAAAAAAGCTTTAAGACATTTCTCCAAACCAATCTATTAGATATATTTTGTTTTATCACAACCTGGTATGAGTGGAGAATAGTATCTTTCCTGGTTTTGTTCAGAAAGAAAGTTAAGAGAATGTAAGCACAGGTAAGAAGGTCAGAAAGTAAAGGCAAACCATATGGTTTATAGCACCATGCAAGAAAGTATTTGAGTCAGAATAGCACTACTTCACAAAAAGGTTTTCCTAGATTAATTTACTTGCCAAATCTCTGTTCTTAGCACACAGGACTGCAGGGAAGTATTTTCAGCTCCAGACTTGTTTTCTCAGACTTGCAATTTCTATATTCAAGCTGTGGGCCAAGAATTCAGTATCCACCAATTCTCCAATACTGTAAAGAAAATTAGAATATACTGATGCTAACAGAAATCTCTAAAGCAAACTCCATCTCTCTTCTCCCCACTGCAGCATCAGCCTTCACAGAAAGGTTGTTAAAGAGCTACTGAAATAAAGGGCACCAAACCAGTTTCTCCATGCTATTTTTTTTAATAGTGAGGTTTCATCCCATTTATCAAAGACTGTTGCATAGCTTTGCAAGAACCAATCGGGCAGCTATAATAATCAATAAGGAGAAGGACAAAATTTACATTCCTGATCACTTCCAATTACCGAATTACCAGTGATAGGGTTTAAAATAAGTGGTCAGATTCTAGTTCAAGACTTTTTTTTTTTCTGCATAGAAGATGGACAAAGCTTGACACAAACAACTTACTTTCTTAAGCAGTATTATGAATAATTAATTTGTTAATTAAATTGCACGTTTTGATGCAATTATTGTCTTTTCTGTATGTAAAGCTCACTAGTTACTCCTCTGGGGTAGAGCAATAGAGATAGGAATCAATGGTGCAACTGTTTGGCAAATCTTAAGACTTCTTCCTCAGGAATATTCATTAAAAATCTCTCAGAAAATCACAAGGTATAAAATTTGGGCTTTAATTTTGCCTTTGCTTTTGGACTCTGCTTAGCTTGAGCCAGTGAAAAACGTACATGCTAGTTGTGTGCTATACAATGTACTGAAATACAAAAAAAAAATAAAGATTTAAGTGGAAAATCTTTTAGCCTATGTTACTGAAATGAATAATGCTTTCATTTTCAAATCTCTTAATCACCACAATTCTTTAATTCTGAATGTCTTTTGAAAAATCCTAACCTAAAATTACTGTGGTCCTCCTGATTCATAAGCTTTAACTGTCATATTCCCTAAAATACGCCCTTTCTGTCCTGAGCAATTGCTTATCACTGTGTTGCTTTAAAGTCAAATCCATAACATTTATGAAACAAGAAAGACATTGAAAATACATGAAATATATTTGAACTATGTAACTGTTTTCAATACTTTGACTAATGGTAACATGGGTTTCTCTGTATGTTGCTTAAAAACAATTCTATTTGCAACATAAACATACAGATCATCAAAGCATAAAATGCTTTGTTGTATTTTATGCTGCAAAGCATAAAATGCTTTATTTACCCACAGGTTGTGGGTAAATAGCGGTCTATCACAGATAGTTGTGTGCTTCTATGCACTAAACCTTGTATTTGTGATGAAAATGGATCCAAATCCCTATTATTCTAAGCTGGCATCCTGGACAGTGAGAATGAATGATAGGCTTAGTTGTATATGCCAGACTTTCCTTACACTGGTACGTTTATTTACTTATTTATTTTTATGACTAGGATTTTAAAGGCAGAACCTTAAATATTATTTGAAGTAATTATACTAATGTTAATACATTCATAAGGTAACCGGTAATCAAAACACATCATAGAATGCTGACAAAGTTGTTTGTTTGTTGTTGTTTTTCATTATAATGGATGGCTAGAAGATTTTTCTTTAAAATACCCAAAGCTTTAGACTAAAGGACAAGAAGTTTTCACCTCAAGGAGATTGGTTAAGGACGCATCAAACCTTTACATTCTATGAAAGCAAAACGTAATTCGTAATAGAGAACAACTTCCTTTAGTCATTGGTATATTAAAAAAAAAATGCTGTCCTGACATCTTTGAAAACCGTACCTATCAGCTTATCCATAAGAAACTCACAACAGGGGCAGGAGCAATGTAAAAATGCATGCCTCTTCACAATCATTATGACTAATTCTGATGAAGAAGAATTATCTTGTGGTTGCATTTGTAGAAGTCTGTGATATGCAGATTTTCACAAAAACCTAAAAATATAAATATTGCACTTACAGCTGTTCATGTTAAATATGTCCATCAATTTATTTAGGAATGGGAACACCATATAGATACACCCACTTCCGCGCACATAAGCAATGATACATAATGATTTATGCCGGCTTCATTTGTTATTTGAACAACTCATTGAAACTTTACATATCAATTTCTTCATTTGCAAATGCATGTTTTTTGCTGTAATTGGCACACAGAAGTCTTTTTCCTCTTTCAAGTGCATGAATTCTGAAAGAATTTGAGTGTATGCAATAAAGCCCGCTTAGAAGAAGATTGGTAGAAGAAAAAAGAGGGTTATGATGGCCCTTCTCCCTGAGGACTTCTGCAGTTTTAATTTTTTATTATGCATTTTTTTCCGATGGAACTTGAAGTTTTTAGCAATTTTATTTTAATTTAAATCAAATTAAATTTAATAAGATTTCACTAATGTTATAATTTAAATTTTAAGCTACATTTATTTTTTATAAGCAGGGCAAGACAGTAAAAAGGGGCACTTAAATGTCAATATGCAACTTACTCTCTTCCCTTAGACTCAAGATTGTAACCAGCCACCTTTTCACGAAAGAAGGAATATGTTTAGAGTTACTCAGGAAGACTCCAGAAGTACAAGTTATTCAAGTGCCTTCTGTCAATTCACTGCCAAGTCTTCCTCTCCAGTCAAGTATTAATGGCCTCTGGGCTGCTGCCTAGCAAAGAAAAAGGAGATGCCTGTGTCACTGTGTTTTTGTTCACACATCAGTGCAGCAGTGTATGCTGGTGGCACTAGCTGCTGGCTCTGTTGCTGAAGCAGACCCACCACTGCAACCAAAAAGTCAATACTGTCAACATCCAAGGTGAGTGTATTAAGTAGATGCATTAGCTTAGCCTCTAGAGTTGCCTTCCTCAGCCTGCATAAAATCTGGCTTGGGTAAAGTAGAAGACCTCTAAAAAATCTCATCGTACGAACTGTAAGAACACTAAGCTATTAAAAAAGAAAAAAAAAAAAAAAAAAAACTTTTAAAGGTCACAGTGACCCTTTGATACTGAAGTTTCATTGCATATGAATGTAAACTTTTCCCACTCTCCTCCACCAGCCATCTTATCCATCGTCCCTCTAATGAAATCGTTTTCATCTCTTCGCAGTTTAGTGACAGTTGACATCATAAAAGATAGATATAGAAACCTGCAGAACAGTAACCTTTCATGCTGATATAGGAGACCTTTTAAAGGTTTGACTGTGGTCTATAGACTCCACCAGTAGATTTGTGTTATCATCTTTACAGATGGACAATCAATCTCAAGCATCCAAACATCTATATTGAGCAAATCTTTTGTTGAAGAAGGGGACACCAGGGGACTTCCTCTAACAGATCATCCATCTGAAGAATTTTATTTTTTTTAATTTATTTTTAATTTATTGCAGCAGTGTCAAAGGCAAATTCAAAGTTCTTTAAAACACAAGACTCCTGTTCTGACACCCCAAATAGATTCAAAGAAAATTATGTCTCATACCTCATTTAATGCATTTTACATTAGTTTCACCACCTTGGTGTCATGCACTAGGGTCATTAAAGTACTGCTGGTTTCTTTCCTGTTCTACTTCAAGTTGCAGTACTTCCTCAGCCCTACAGACTTGGGTGACACGTAGCTCAAACACCTCTTCAGATGGTTAGTCGGACTTTATTCTGAAATTAGCAAGGATGTAGTAGGGTTTATTGCTTTTACATTACTCCTCTACATGTTCATTTCTGAATCATGGGCCAATGGACTGGATCTCAATGTGGATCTAAGCCTCATCACTCCAATGAAATCAATATGATAGCTTGTAGAAGTAGCAAATTGTTCAGTTCAGTAAGTCTCAAAACTCAACTGGTAGGAAAGCTGCATAGCATTACAACTTGCAAGGTAACTGGTGTGTTTCAGTGTCACTTTTACAAAGAAAAAGGAGCAAATGCCAGTTGTGAATTTCAAAGGATTGGTACTAGAGACAGGAGCAGTTGAAAAGTTCATCATAATTGCTTTCAAATATTTTGTATCCACTGGAAGAGGCAGAGAACTTATTTGGGGCATAAAAAAAAAAGGATTATATAATACTTGCAGTTGGAGAGGAGAAACTTCGGATATCTATATCTTTCTAACACAGTATAAAGAAATCCACTCAATCTTGATTACATGCTACTAACTTAAATCTACAAAAATTGGATAATCTGATATTGAATATTTGTGTCGATACTAGAATTCTACAGTTGCAATGTTTTATAACTGGTTTATATAACATAAGCATCTTTCTTATCCAGTATATTACAGAACTCCCCCCATGAAAGATAACAGCCCAGACAGGTTTTATAAGTAATGTCCTTTATTTTTGTAGTAATAGTCAAAAGACTATCGTGTCTCTTTTTTTTTTTTTTAAACAGGAATGTAATAGTTTCTCACTATTCCTCCCTAACAACAAAAATCGTTGCTATAGTCATGAATTTGTCTTTAACGACATTACCTAGGCTGAATGTGATGTTGCAAAGAACTTCCACAGCCTTATTTCAACCAAAACCCAAATAGGTAAATGATAAAATGTTTATGAAATTTAAGATGTACCACAGAAATGCATGTCATTACATGAGACTTTTCACTATCATTTGGTTTTATCTTAGTTTTACTTAGGAATACCAGATGTGAGCATAAAGCTGAGCTCCATCCCTGTGCCACTAACTCCCTCAGATTGGGGTGGGAAAGAAATAGAAGTAGCAGCACATACAAGTGTGTGCGTACGCCACTTATCTCTGAATCTCTGCTTCCTTCCTTCAGTTCAACTACCCAAGTTACAGCAGAATATTTTGGTACAGTTAGTGCAATACTGAAGTTTTTCCTCTCTCATTTGCATGGCTTTGGCCACTTTTTTCAGCATATGAAGTCAGAACATTACCATATAGTTTTGAGCTTCCCAGCAGTAGGGAGAGAAAAAAAACAACATGATTTCTCTTCTGGGAGACCAAGGAGTTAGAGGGAACAGATGTAGCAGCAAAATGTAGAATAGTTGCTTTAGGGCTATTATCTTTCTGGCTTTGTTATGAAAAGGCCTCATACAAATAAAGTGATTTGCTCTCACTATAGATTATTCAACAAACAAAATAAAACACACACACAAACAGTTTCTCTAGCAAAAGCTCACTTGAGGAAGGAAGGACTGCTTTTAGAGACACTCATTCATGTATCAGTCTTCTACAAGTAGGAAAAGCAAAAACATACATGCAACTGCTTTTTGTCCTTTCTTAGATGCTCATGAAAAACTAAACTAACTGGTTGCATTGAATTTGAAGCATGCCAGCTACAGGACACCTACTTCTGCAGCAACAACACAAAAATGTTGCAAGTTGATAAAAACTGTGGGAAAATCCATCCAACAGATGCTGAGATTCCACTCTTGCACAGTAGAGCAAGAAAACCTCTAGTCAATTGTCACTTTGAAGTGACTCCTGAAGCAACTGCATTTCCTACAAGATGTACTGGGTCTGGCTGGGATGTCAACTTTCCCTGCAGAAGCCTATACAGTGCTGTGCTCTGCACTTGTAGCTAGAACAGCACTGGTATCACTCCAGTGTTGTGTCTACTCCTGAGCAGTGTAGGGATACCAAAGGGATATTCCATACCATGTGGTGTCACACTCAGCAATAAAAGGTGGAAACAGGAAGAAGAGGGGAGGGGTGGGCTTTCATTGGGAAAACATTGGTCCTCCTCCCGAACACGGGCTATGTGTGTTGAGGAGCTGCTTCAAGGATGTGGTCAAGCATTGCTCATTTGTGGGAAGTAGAGAGTAATTTCCACATACACATATATATATACATCTTTTTCCCCTCCTCCCCTTCCCTTCCCCTCCCCCCCCCTTTAGTTAAATTGTTTGGTTAATCTTTCCTTAATAATTATTTTTTTTCCCTTTAATTAAATCATCCTTATCTCAATCCATGAGTTTTTCTTTACTTCTTCCCCTCCTCATCTAAGGAGGGGGAGTGAGAGAGCGGTTGTGGTGTTCAGCTGCCTAGTACAGTAAAACCACCACAATATTCAGAACAGATGTGGTTCAACCCAAAGCTCATATATCAGCTGGGTAACCGGTCATATATCAGCATGGATAACCGGTCAATTTTATGTTCAATTTTAAAGCATGTAGGATTTACTTCAATGTAATAGTGCTGAGAGAAGCAGTACAACCAGATATAGAGCAGAAAAGGCTGAAATAATTGTTTTTAAAATGTCAAACAAGTGGAAATTGTCTAAATTGTGTTTGTCTTCATTGTAGTTTTGTTGTGCTAACAGGTTACTTGCAGTAGTAATCACCATGTGATAACAAGTGGTCTTGTTCTTTAGGACTTAAGACCTTTATCCCATGTTGACATAGCCATGTAGTTACCTCCTCAGATTACAAATTAGATGTTCCTTAAAGCAAGTGTTTGGCTCAACTTTATTTTCTAAAAAAAGAATATACTGCTTCTTAATATGGGAAGGGGCAATGTTGTGCTAAGTCTGTCTAGGACTATCATCAGTGGAAAGGCTGAGCTGCTAAGAGCATCCTCTGCCACTGGATCAGTGTGGGGCTGTGACCTCTAAGACTGTGACCTGCATCAGAGAAGTAAGCACATTGCATGTGAGACTCCCATGTTCCATTGTGCATGAAGTAAACAAACTCTGAAAATATATTTATGTCAACACTTAGTTATGTTGTGGAATTTAATTTCATTTAATTTAAATATGGCTAAAAGAATTAAATAGCTTTCAGAGCTGGTTTGTCACAAGCTTCTTTGTTTGGTGGGATAGGAGACCTGAGGTACAGGAGTACCTTCAGTGAATCCATGTGAAACATTTTTCCACCACCACCATCTCCCAACAAAACAGCAGAAACAAAAGGAGACACACAAACAACCAGAGGAAATCCCTACTTGGAGCCACTTCCTTTTCAGAAAGTATTTGTTGTGGTTTATTGGTCATTTTCTAGACTTACAAGATACATGAGAGTAACCATAACAGAACATGAGGTGTTTAATAAATAAATCCTCAGTACTTTGAAGTTGTACACTCCCCACATTTTGAATGGTACTCTGTAACCTCCCTGTAATGAAATATTTAAAAGTATATATTACAAAATTCTAGAATGCATTTTAAGATGGCCTTTAACAATTTACAAAATAACTATAAACTATTTTGCATACATTACAAACAGGGAGAATTTATTTTGCTCACTGGAAAAGGAATGAGGAAAGAGACTTTCGTCTTCATTTTAAACTTTGTTTCCCTGATACAACAATAAGTAGTACCGTAATAGAAGCACTTAATAGCACTATTAACTCAACCACCTAAAACCAGAATCCATATTAATTACATTCATTATACTTAATTGAACATAATCATCTAACCTAACAATTCCTTGTACACTAATTAATAAAACAGCATGTCTTCTAGATCAGAAATGCATTAATTCATTTCTTTTGAAGGTAAGATATTTAGGGGACAAATAAAATTTATAACTTCCATCATTAGTATATTTGGACAAATCCAACTTTTTTTTTAATCACAGTGACTGTTCAGGGCAATGGATCTATTTCTTAAGTGAAGCTGAAATTTCATGCAAATGTTGCATATCTAATGTGTTCATTTTTTTCTCCTTTGTGACATTTGAAGAGAAAGGCATGAATCACAGTAAGGTCATTTGTCATTT